TTTATTTTTAATGTTTATAATAGTTCAGATAAGGCTTTTATTGAAAGAAAAATTAGAATAGATGTTCTAAAAATTGAAAAAATCCAGAAAAACTGAAAGTGCTTTTTTCAATGGGATTTGATATAAACTCGCGATCATATGTGTATATTTTTTGAAATTTTGCATAGGTACACATAAAGTGTTAATGACAAAAATACTCTGAACCACTCTCAAGACTACGTATTCCGGGTTAGCTAATATTTGTTATAAAAGGAAAATGTATATTTATATTTCACAAAAATTTATAAATTAACTAATTTTGATTAAAAAATAGGTATATATATACAATATACATGGTGTACCTATATGTGGTGTATTTCATATTATATCAAATCTTTTTTTAAATCAATATATTAAAGTGTTTACCATGCAATAATTATCAAGTCAGTTTTATTTGTATAATTATAATTGTATAAATCAGTTGATTTCCTTAGTCTCATATTATATTTCAAATAACTCTACTTAGGTTTCTAATATTATTAATTACGAACTGTGTATAAATACTCTATACAGCTTACGTTTATCTACAAATCAGATACAACACATTTAATAAATTAAGTCATGTATAATAGTATTATAATATAAAACGCATTTAAATATACATAAACCTAGTAATATAATATATTTTATCCTTTTGATGTGGAGTAAAGCTATAGTATAGTATATATACATTATGATTTGATATACAGTAAACTGACAGACTTCTACATACATATACCAGATAATATTATTATACCGTGGTGACGGCTTGGTGTTGATGATGGCAGTGGCAGTAGTAGTGGTAACCACGGGACGATTAATAATGTGAAGAACCAGCACCGAAATATTATTGTCTGAGTTATTATTACATCCGAAGTCGCGTTCAAGTCTCCTGCGCGCGGGTGGTCCCCACCATATACATAATATTTATATATATATATACGATAAGCCTATATCTATACCTAACACACAAAACACCGCACGGACGGTCACTTTAAGCTCTTCTCCGTCAATGACTTTCACAATTCATCAAGCCGTGGTCTTATCATCGGTGTTCATCGGGGAAAAAACAAAACAGGGCTTGTTCAATAGTCATTATTACTATTGTTATGTGTTTGCATTGCCCGACCGCGTATCTAGCCAGTGTTTATATTTCGGTTGTTTTGGATTATATAATAGGTTGATTATTCGCGTACGCGTGTAAAAACACTAATTTAAAGGTGAGATAATGGAAACAGCGGGTAGTCGTACCTCGTTAAAATGAAATAAAATCCGTCCATTCAATATATATAATACGATTATAGAACCCTTGTCTCTCTACTTCTTTATCTTGCATTCCGCGTTATACCATCGGGTTACAATAAAAATGTCCGAGTTGTAAATAACATTTTAACCGAATTCGAAATGTAAACATGTTGTATACGAGGGGCAAAGATTATTATTAATCGTCCGCTATCCGTGTTGTGCGTATGCAGTGGGATTGCTCATCTTAAGGTAGGATAATATATCGAAATTGGTCTCCCGCCGGTAATCGAAAACATGAACTAGGGACACGTGGAGATAATATTTATTTTTTTCTAAATAAAGTAAGTACTGTGAGACGCGAGTTGTGAATGACAAGACGTGTCCAATAATGATGGTCGTCATAAAAATCATTTATCACAATAAATAATATCCATCTCGTGTTTATAGCTATGTACTGCAAACACGGAATACAAATTGTAAGATTATAAACCGTAAGCAACAATTTAAATATAAATTCATTTCCGCTTGTGTTATATGTAGATAAAATCATGTTTTTATTATCTGCGAAGCAAAAAGATTTAATATTTAAAATAATAAACAGTGGTTAATAACTGAAAACTAATGTCTATTATGATTAAGCTTCCGAAATCTAGAAAAAAAATTTCAAAAAATAAACATGCATCAATTAAAATGTTCAATTGCAATAAATATTCCTGTTGCAAAAACAATTATATGATTTAATTGATATTTAAAATGAAAAGCCATCTTGATTTTAGTTCAAGTATTTTTTTTCTATGATAATAATTATTATGCATTTTCATATTTCCAATTCCATGCAAGTGTTAAGACAAAATATCATAAAATAACCTAATATTATAAGGTAACGTTGTTTTTTCTTTATAACAATTATCTTCGTACCCATAGCAATTTGTCTGGAAAAGGGATAATAATATATAGGTACCTACAGTGTTATAAGGTATCATTGTTTTCCATTATCCTGCCCCCTTTCGGTCAACGTTGTCGGTTACTTTTGATGCCTTCTTTACGTCTGCCGGTCCACAATAATCGGTCGGAGGAATGCGTGTCCCTTGATATTCGATTAAATCGTTAAAACTGTTCTCCTACTACCTAATTTTTTTCTTCTTTTATTTTTCGGTTAGTTATTTTTTCTACACTCATTCCGTTTACATTAAGATTTATTTGTCTGCTCATCTGTCAACGCGTAACTATGTTATTTTACACCTCTACGAAGATCTTAAACGTCCTGAAAAATGGTTAAAAAATCGTGTTGTAAATTACGTTGAAACTATTATTTAAAAAAATACAATAATTTAAACAGAATAAATTTCATAATATTTTTAATTTATCATTCATATTATTATATAATAATCTTAAAGTATGAGATATAATTTACACAAAATATATATTATCATTATTATTGTTATAGATAAATTATTACACTTCAGTGATATCTTCAAAACAACATTGTATATTGTTTATATTCAAATGGTACTTAATAAAAAAAGAAAATAACTATATTAAAATAATTGATTTATTTATGTTAATAAAATTATAAATAATAATTGATAGTGCAACGATTTTATACTGGTATAATAATATTAAAGTATAATGCTAAAGTATAATGCAGGTATTCAAATATTCTGATAATAATACGTATGTTTACTCTAGTTTAATTTAAAATAATAATTATGATTACAATTTACAATTTCATTTTTTGTAAATTCCAGTATTTTCACTTTATCCATACCCCATTTTGTTATTAATATTGAAATACTCTTTTGTTGACACACTGCACCTGTTTGGATTTAATTAATAATGAATTATTAACTGTCCAACTGTTTGATAAAATTATACATTGAGTATCAGTATTTCTAAATAAATAATAATTAAGTTATAAAAACTGTATTTTAATTTTTTGAAAATCCGGTATTTTTGGTACTTGCATATTATATTTATTACATGGTACAATCATAAAAAAAATGCATTAGAACTATCAAATACTTTCAGATTATGAGAATAATAATTTTATTATAGAATATAATAATATAAAACGATAAAAATGTGCCCCTACTTATATGATAAGTTCTACATCTGTTTTTAATTGTAAATTTGTTATGCTTTATCATCCGGTTTCATCCGGATACTCTATAATATATTGTATTTATAAATAAATCATGAAAGTTTTTTTAATATTTAAATATGTTATACTATAACAGTTTTAAATTTTAAAATATCCATTTTTTTTTTCAATCCAAAATTAAATTACTAATTAAAATTATCAGAAACCCAGAATGTTTGAAAAATTTTACAACATACTTGTACCGTATTTCAACGTTTTGTTAAAATCCATGTGTTTTCTTCATTAACTTAAATCTAATAATAAAATCATTAAAAAAAAAAAAATTCAAAGTTTATGAAATTTAAATTTTTTATCCTTACCATTTGGAGATATTTGTGTTACAGTAGCGATAATTCATAACTGTAAAGTTATATCGACTGATGACGAAATGTAAATGTAATTCATAACTTGAATCATTAAGCTAGGACATGCGTTAACGCATTGTAAATATTAATTTATAGAAATTGTTTAAACGATTTTTTATTGATATATGTGTTGACAATCATTGTAAATAAAACGGAAGTACCGTTCAAGTCATATTGTGTAATGATTATTGTAATAAATATTAAATAAAATTACTTATAATTAAATGCTGATCAATATGGTATAAATTATAAATGGTGTAATAATATATTGTTGCTGAAGAAAATAGTTTATGAATATTTAAAATTTAGTTACGGAACTTAAATTAAATTGGAAAATAAACACATATCATACCTAATAACATTTACTGTCCGTGAAATATTTGTAGTTTTATATGATGATAACTGTGATTTTTTTTAATCATGTCAATGCACAAAATGCTGGAATTTTAACACTTATTATTCTGAGCAGTAAATGATGATTCAAAATAAACTATATTGTTAAAAAAATTAACATATTATTATCTACATATTTTTTATAGTAACGCAAAATTGATTAATTAACAATATTATGAAAACTATTAGAATTTGTATGGCAGGCAAAGATAATCGATATTTTTTATGACTGTCAATTGATTTTTGTTTGTTTTAAAATCCGGCCATTAGTCAAAAAATAAGATAAAATAATTATCTTGTATATTTTATCATTGCACGTATTTTATTAAAAGTCTAAGAGTGCAAAATGGCCTATCAATTATTATATTTTAACTTTGTTTATAATTTCGACGTGTGAGGTTTACCACACAGTGAGATGGGTACCTACTGATATATAATAATTGCTGCCGCTTCATTTTTTTAACTCAGCACGAAAAATATAATTAATGTTATTGTAACATCTAAACGATTATACGGCAGAGTATCGTAACGTATGTAAATGGATATTATAGCCCATAGTTACCTAATAATATTGGTTTTCAATTTAAATCACGTGAACACGTTTTAAATGGTAATACGATCGTTTTTCGATTATGTGACTCGATATAAATAATAGACAATCGTTATGAATATTGTGAACTTCATTGTATGAAAACAAAACGAGAATAAAATATGCAATTATTACACAATGCAGCGAGTACGAATTACGTACTACATCAAATAAAAAAAATAAATAAATAATTACTATAGTATTATATTATTGTTAAAACGATTTTTTTTTTTTGTTTCTTTGTTTCCAGGTATCTGGCACTATTGATACTAATTATATCATTTAACATCTCCGCATCATTGAGCAGACAGGTAAGCTTTTTATCGTTACAAAATATATTTACGCGGATAGTTGTAAGCTTTATAATAAGTTATGTCGAAGAAAAATTAATATTATTTATTCGTATTTTATATACCTCTATCACTGCGCGTAGTCTTAATGCACACGTTGTATAATGTGATTTTTTTTTTTTCATGAGATGCATTGTACGTAAACGTTACACTTGTCGTCCTTTCCAACCCCTCATTCATCAAAACCATACACGTGCTAGCCATGTGCGTGGTGTACAATACATATATATTGTGTGCAATGCGAACATCAAACAACATTGCCGCTAATCCGGTGCCTGCCGGGTTTATTAAAATGTGCAACACACACACACACATACACAATAGTATTCGGTGATGTGTCCGAGTCCGATCGTTATTACTCGTTGTGCACCTTACATTGTAGTCATTGTACACACGTACAATTATTAATATTTTTCATGTGTACGTTATAAATGTAACTCATATCCACCGGGGCAAAATAAATGCCGAAGGAAATGTGTATACGTAAGGACTTTGTCAACCGGTGTCGGTTTGATTTGTGACTGAGCCCCTGGCTCACTAATTTTAAATGGAGCCCAACGCCCCGTTATATATTATGTATCGCGATAAAATAATTAATTTTTTTTTTTAGTCAAAAAGTATTTTATTACTTTAAAATTATTTGTTATTATAATTATTAAATAAAAAAATTATAATTAACAATGATTTACATTATTTTTTTACTATATTTTACACATCGAATTATATAACACAATCATTAAATATTGTAAAACAAAATCTAATAAATACAAATTACTTCAATTAAATAAATAATAATAAATTATAATTAAAACATTAGATATTTTTTTAATTCATTGCCAGAATATCCATAATACCTATCAAAAATTTAATTTTTGTTGAAAAAAAGTTTCTTTTAATAAACATACAAGTTAAAAGATCCAGCTATAACGTACTATTAGTTTACAGATTTTACAAATTTTAGGTTTTGAAAATATCCACTTCTTCAAACGTAATCTGTGTATGGAATTTTAATAACGCTTTTGAATTCTATGCAAAATGCGTTAAATATACTAAACTTTGTTATTAGTTCATAAATAATTTGAAATTACCGAGTCACGACTTATAAGTGATTAAGTGATTTAAATATATATTTTCCCATTTGGTTGTGGACCTTCAATATTGAAAAATGTCCAAGGGGCCCCTGCAATCGGTGGATAGCCGGGTGCACCAGACCGACACTGCAGTTGTCAACGAATACGATATGATATATGACTCCAAATGACTGACGACTTTGTAAAATATATCCGTTCGACGTAAAAACCTAATATGTTGCATCTAGTGCCCTGTTGCTGGTATTTTTTGTTTTGTTTTTGTGTTGTGCAGTGAAACATGTGTTTAGTGGTACGCAATAATAATAATTTAATGTCGCTCGCTTAAAACAAAAGGCGTTACGCATTAATGTACAATAGAAATATAATAATATATAATATTATAATTGATTGAAGATTTGATATACATTTAATAATTTAATTATTAACTGTTAATTTATTATTTGTTGATTAAAAGTTATATGTTAGGACTAATGTATCTTTAGTTTGTTATATTATAGTGTATAAACTATATATTTAATGCAATTTAATGGTTACGACTACGTTAATTGAATGTTAGTGTATACTAAAAAATCTGATACTCAAGACCAGTTTTCTAACTTAAGTACCTAATATCAATAAATGAAAACTATGAAAACAGAGTAATAAAGAAATTGAAAGATTCTTGAACTCTTATTAAACATTGAGTCATCGACCCATAACTTAGATATTATATTTTACCACTTCACTTGAAATTCTATATTTGGTCTATAGAACTCATTAGGGGCATTATTATCCATCATTAAAGTTGATTTACATTTGTCATATTATTTAATTTATTTTTGATTTGTTTCAATTTTTCCCTAGTTTAACTACCTAGTACCTACTATTTGTAGAAGCTTCTTTAGCATCAATACATCATTGCATTATATGGCAAGAATTTATTTATTTTTTATAACAAATGTAAAGCACATGACTGCATCCTGATAACAGTCCTGAATACTGACATCATTTTTTACAGATTTTTATTTATGTTCAACAATAAATTACCTTTTAAAATATAAATTTATTTAAAAATCAAAAAAACATCTCATATCACATTTTGTATTATGTTTAATGTTCACCTTTATAACTACATAGTATTATATAATTGTTTGTTACTTTTACTTACATAGAATGAAATCCATATTTATATATTATTTTATTTAAACTTAAGCTCTTAAATAATCATTATTAAGTAAAAATAAATAATCCACGAGCTAACCATTAAAATGCATATTTAAAAAACTAAAATAATCTAGGTAATAAAAAAAAAAAATAAATAATATATATCGTAAGATATTATCCTCATTCCTTTTGCCACCTGTTCGTCGAGCGATTAAAATAATTGTATTTCAAAATAAATATACACATAAATTATTATTCTATTTTTATTTTCCTAACACAGATTTTTAATGGTCATAAATCACGTATGCGGTCCTTTGATTTATATACACATACCCATCTTTTTGTCCGGCAAAACAGAAATATAATGGTCACTGAAAGCTATTTATCAACACGTCTTAATGGCGATTTAAAGTCAAGTTTAGTATGTGACACAATAGACACGAAAATATGACAAATACCTCTTTGCTTTGTTATGAATTAAATTATAATTATTCAAAAAAAAAAAAAAAATCCGTAAAGATTAAACATGAAATCTTCTGAACGGTGGACTTCTCCATATTATACTCATATGGTCTTATTATTATGTATGTCTATATACCTTCCAGGTTAGTAGTAGCAGTAATAATGGATATATTATTTAACTCGATCGGATGTATGGTTAGTTTCAACTAAGACTATGTTTATCTCGTAGTTAGCGTGGTTAAATTCAACTTAATGCTATGTTTACTGCATGAGCTATAAATCAAACAACAATGTAGACACCTATATTATAATAGCATTATTGAATTAAATATTAATTCACCAGACACCAATCAGGAACCTACCTAGACGAGCTAGTGTCTAGCCGCTAGATTGTCTATATACTTATCTATTTATTATTTTTATTAGAAAATGTTTTTTATTTGTATTACCATACTCATACGTATAATATCCATGAATAATTAATATTTGTGTTAGTAGTCAAAAACATTAATTGATTTTCTAGATTATACTTAATTTTTAAAGGAATATTAGTTTAACGTGTTTTTTAAGTATTAGTTTAAAAATATTTCGTTGAACGTTTTCACACAGACTTAATGGAAAACTCCGACTAACTAATATATTATAAAATATTATTATTATCATTATTTTTTTTTTTTTTTTACATTTATACTGTTATTTTAATCGACAAAATCACAATGAAGTTTCTTTATATTAGAATTACTACAGTAAACTATAACTACTAGTGTAGATTAAAAAAAATATACATTTTTATGACTTATTTTTTATTTGGTCGGAAATACGTGCTCGTTGTTCCAATTGCATGAAGTTGTTATAAATACCTATGAGAAATAAGATTTTAAAATTCCACTGTTTAACAATAATAAACTTCTACTTTATAACATTTATATTATACACAGCACACAATATTTATATATATATATATATATATATTATAATAAGTATTTTGTTGCAGTTATTTATGTTAAGCATAGGTACTTATATAGTTATGTGTGCTGATGGTGCAAAGACGGTAGTTTGAAAAAGAAATAGACAAACAATAGATAGACATTTTAAATTCTTTTGTCGACAACCGTCCGTGATTATAATATTATTTCCATTAAATAGATGAAATTTTATATTGATATAGAATTCTAGTGATTTACTTAAACTCCTAATGCGGGTCTCGATGGAGTATTTATCCTATAACCATATTCTAACCTAACACTTTTTGAAAATGTTAATGTATAAGTAGGCATGTAACTATATAAAACAGTACTTTTGATGTAAATTAAAATATATTCTAAAATTTAAATTAACCGAATTTATTTTATGATTAAATTAATTTAGTTACCAATCACCAAGTACTCTTAAATTAGACATACATAACTATTTTATTTTTACTTTCAAACGATTTATTTTTGTAAGTGAGATTTAAAACGTTATACATTACATATTTACACCTCATATTTTATATTTTCATAAAATTCTTTTGTATATAATATAATGGTTTTCACTATAATATTCATGACATAAATAATTGCTTGGTTTTAGATATGTAATTTATATAAACGTTGAACGAAAAAAATAAATAGTTTTTGTTATAAAAATGTTAACATTATAAGGTGGCTACTAGATGCACATTAGGTGTATAATGCTAACTGCCTATGCGTGTTTTATTTTTCTACACTGTGCATTAAGTTATCTACAGTTGGACATGAAACCTAATTGGTCTTGTATTATTTAGAATAATGTTGTTATATATTTTTTAGATTTGTATATTTCATATCTAATATGGAATTACACGCGTGATTTTACTGAATTAGTAGTGAAAAACTTGTTTTAAGTAGTGTAGCTTAGTAATTTATCATCAGTAAAAACTAACAGGTAATATTAAGCAAACTTTATTATAGTTATTACAAATCATCCACAGACAACGGTCCACACATTTATAAAGACTCAATTTTAATAAGCATCTAGATACTATAGTAGGTAAGGTAATTAATACTTACAACTATAATTTAATGTATTAACAACGGAACATTTACATTTTTTTAATTACAACCAAATATAATTCAATTTTTTTTTCATTATGCTTATTAATGATGTTTATGTATCTAATATGCATACTCTTCCATACAATAAATAATTCTCAATTCAAATGTTCGTAATAAATGAATCGATAAATTTATATAAATAATAATATTTATATAAATTTATCGATTAAGGGCTATGGGTACCATATTATAATTTGTATTTCAAAATAGTGAAAAATAATAATCATAATTTTTGAATACACAAATAATTATGTTTTTCTCAAAAATTAATTTGTATAAACAATTAATTGAACTTTAACAAATTTTAATTAAAATATCTTTTAAATGTAACTAACAATAAGTAATTCAGCTGATCTAAACAGTAAACCAATTAATCGTAGATGATATTATGTTAGATTTATTCGTTAACAGACATAATACATAATATGGAATATTGTTAGGTATTATTGTAAAATTACGCGTTAAAAACATTTTCACACTTTCTACTTCTTATTTAACGGCTTTTACTAAAATTATTAATTTATTATGTGGCATGCACTCGTAATATGCTAATAAGTATAAATATAAATTAATCGATACTAACATAAATCACACTTGCGACTTGCGCTATAATTAATAAAATAATGTACCTATTTTTAAAGGTGGTTGTACCGATTTTATTGAATTTTGAATTTCTTTTAAAGTTTAACGCACTCGAGTAAAGAAAAAATTACAATGCTCTTCCACAAGGGGTGTCCTTGGTTCGAAAATATGAAAACCCTATGAATAATGTGTTTAAAGGAAATGATAATAATAAAATATAATGTTCATATGACAATGCTATTTGATGCCATGGTGCGTGGAAAATCCGACTATTTAATCTGTTTCACGGTCGGTATTGTGATCGAAAACAACTGCCGTGTATCCATCATATTTTGTATTATTTTGTCATAGTGAATACTTGTTGACATTTTAAATAAAATACCCGATATAATGTAGTTAATTTCTACAGTACTTCGTAATTATAGTAGGTAATAGTTATATTTACTTTTATCGTACATAACTATATTAATAAAAAGTATTGTTTGTGTGTGTGTGTGTGTGTGTGTGTGTGTGTGGTGTGTAAATGATCCATAGCCAAGTCTATTGCATCCATGATTTTTGAAACTTGGTACATAGGTTATCTTATAGCCCGCGGATGTACACTTCGAAGACTCGTAGTTAATTTTTTAAATTTTATACTTAAAAGATAAGTTTGCACAAGGTTTTATTGACTTAAGAAAAACAAACATTTTCTTGTTTGTATACGAGTAGGATTGTAGCCATTGCAAAACATAAAAAATAAAACAGTTAATTTGAATTATTTAATATGTCACAGGCAATACTATGAAGAAACAACTAGTATTAAAAACAAATAAGTAATAACACACAGTGTCTCGGTAGATACCCCCCAAAAAAAACAAGTATTGTAATATGATTAGATAGTTGATAATAAAAACAAAAAATAAATATTAACAAATCCAATATAATTTTTCCTAAAAAAAATTTTTTCTTCAAATAATGTAAACCGATCGTCCGGTTAGATAGGTTAATAAACTTAAAGAAACAATAATGGTATAATTGTATACAGTCATACGACAGTGATATACATCGTATAATACGTGGGTAAATATATATTTTTAATTTATTGCCAAAATCTATCCAATAAACTAAGTGCGTTGTTAGTTTTAAAATACCATCAAACGTTATAGATTACTATGATTAATATTACAGTTATTGTTATACGACTAATGGTTTTGAGGTTCTCCATTAAATATTTTAAAGAAAAAAATTATGTTTTAACAAAACACGAGGGGTCCTTATTGATAAATCATTTTAATATAAAATCTTGAATACAATTATTATTTAAGACGATAACGTATCGAGTATCTCGTTTTCTCGGTATTTCGGTGGTGTTAACAAAATACCTACGTAATACGAGACAAACGGTCCATTATAGACAACATTTTAAGACGAGTTACATGCGCGGCAAATACGAATTGGTCGTTCTTTCCAGATAAGTATCTTATATTCATAACAGGCACCGCGCACGTATATACCCATATTAATATATAAGATATATAAGATGATTCACCAAGTATGATCACCCCCTTTTTATAATTTAAAGACGTAGTGTTTGAGTTTTCGAGTTATTTAACTCTATATTCTAAAGGTTAGTTTTAAAGTTCATGATAATGGGCTTGCATGATATAAGGACTATGGTAATTTTAAAATTCTAGAAATTTCAATTTATCTATTTAAATTTATAAACTATAAAAACGGTCCAAATACAAATTTCAAGAGCTAGTATTATTAATATTATAAACATTTTAATAACTGAAAAATTACTTATCCAATTTTGAATTAGATACAACACTTTGATAATCTTAAATAGTAGAACAAATTTCAAAAATTTTAAAGTACTTATGATCTTTAAATGTATTTAAAAATTTTAAAAAATCAAAGTTTAAATAAATTCAATATTAAATAAAAATATGGGGGTAAGTATACTTACTATTTATATTATAAGTATACAGAACCATAAAAAATATACAAAATGCATATAGTGTTTGTATATATGTTACATATCATGTTTAATGCGTAGAAACTCGTGATTTCATACCCCGTTGCCTTAATATATGGGTTCGGCGTAAGAATTATAGTATTTTATAATATTATCCTCGACATTATTTTAATATATTCTCTTCTTTTGTAATCGATACATAATCATCAGCGTTTCGATATTTTTTTCATTTTGCATCATTTTTTTTTTCTTTTCACGACCACGATGATTAGGAAATCGTGAGAAGTGCCCAAGCCGTGACAGGGTGTCGTGGCGTTATTTTTAACACTCCATTAATCACCTTTAACGAACTCCCGATCTCATAATATATGTCTAGTGTTAAAATACGTGTCCGGTCACCGCCGCCTGAATCTACACATTTTATCTCAAGTCTTTATTTTTATTAGATATTATTAACAGGTTTGTTATGATACAATTAAGACTGATTTGATGAGTAAAAAAAAATAAAATAAGAAATTTATTTTAATACGTAGTCTGTATAGACCACATAAATTATAATATAATATAATGTAGGTTATAACTTTTATAAATAGGTAATAGGTAAATATAATGTACCACATTAGTACACAAATATGAAACTTAATATTTTGATTATCACGATTTTATTTATCGATCTTGGTTCATTGATTAGTCAACATAATAAACTAATTACTACTAATAAATTAATTATTATGAGAATAAAAAAATATTTTTAATCTAAATTGCCTAAAGCCTAAAGGTTATGTTAAAAATTATAATAGAGTACCTACGCATATTTCTCAAGTTCAAAGTAAAAATATTAAATTTACAATATATAACACATTATACATAAAAATATAAAATATTAAATGAGAATAAAATATTTCATTATTATATTATACTCGTATAAGTATTTAATGCTAAAATGTTAAGCTAGTCTATAAAAAAAAACTAGTTCTTAACTCAGAATCTAAAATAGGATTATAAAAAGTGAGTTAGTTTTTTATGTTTATTTATTTGTATACACTTGTCATAACAATTCAACAGCCTAAACAACTTAAAATATACTAAGATATCATAATTTTGTAAAAAAAAAAAAAAATGGTTACGTTATTGTATAACTGAATTGTATGTATATTGAGTTATATATTTATATTTATAAATAATATTTGTACAAAATCTTAGTAAAATATACGTTTTTTTCCCCTTAAGTTGGGTCAATATAAATATAATATAGTATTATTATTCATGTTACGATGATAATGTCTGAGATACATTATACGTATTATATACACGAAAAAATTGAAAATAAATAAGTATTTACTCGAAACACAACACGTGCATAATATGATTTGTATATTGTGCTAAAATGTCAGATCATTCAATTCAAGTATTATATCATGTATTATATAGTGTTTACATTTAATGCATCGTGGATTTCAACTGACCGATGTTTATCGTTGTCCATTAGACATATATCTAATATTAATTGTATCATATATGGTTTGAATTCTTATAGCATCACCTCCGACATGGCCGACACAAAAGACAACAATGGAACAATACGTTTAGCAGCTCCGGATTCATACCAGAATATCATGTTTATCTGGACGGCAGTACCTCGGAGAGTGGTGAATGGAGTCCGTGGTCTGACGATAGTCAATGTTCCCGTAGTTGTGGTGGAGGAGTAGCGTTTCAAACCAGGAGATGTCTGACATTCAGGTATTATAACACGGACACGTGTACCTTTAACAATAAACATAAACCGTATGAAGTTTATTATAGTTTAAATGATAGAACTGAAATTATGTTAATGTCTGTATGAATTTTAATTTACTTAAATATTATTATAATTATTTATGGACATTCTGTACGTGCTTTGGATTTTATTGAATGTATCGGCCCTAAGAGACGACTATGATAATTATATAGAACGGATTATGTTGGCTATGTTTTATGAACCTTACACAGTGAAATAGATAAAAGATTTTTATTTTTATTATCATCTAATAGTATATAGAGCATGACTGTAAAATCTCAATAATGGTCGATATGTAGGTTCTACTAACAATAATTACAAGTAAACCGATGTCATTAAGCTAGTGTTTGACTTCAAAATGTGCAGTAAAATCTCGATATAATCCATTTTAATGTATATGAGGTACACAATACAGATTTCATAGAAATTAATGTTCTATAAAAGCGATTTTACTGGTACATGGGTGAAATAGATTAAGCAAATTTGGCTATTTTTCAACTAGTTCATACTATTAACTGTTAACAATTTATTTTTTTATTTTTTTAAATAAATTATTTACGGAAAATAAAAAAGCTAGTACGATTAACTCAGAAAAAATGACATATATTTTCGCTTAGGTAATGATTTTGACTTATTATCGCCTTTATTCTGTGCACCGAATTTTTTTAATTAAAATTTCTCAAATTGAATAACTGCTTTTTAAACACATATTCTTAAAAAAATAAATTTTTAATCATCCACCCAATTATGTACCTAATAAAATAAAAACAATTTTATGGATAATATTTTTAGTATAGACAACGATATTATGATAATAGACCACGCCTCGACGACCATCAACATATTTTATTCGTTTAAATTATTATATTCATATTAATTTAAAAAAATACTTAACAATTACACCATATAAACATATTTAAAATAAAGAACATACAATATAATCACATTTTTTTTTTCGTATAGTCGTATACACTGAATAACACACAAAACGTGAATGTTATTGAAAATAATAAAAATGTTCTGATAGAATCATTTAATGTTATCACCTATTGTTCATTGATAATTAATGCAATACGCTTAAGTTTTAATTTTAAAACAAACTTTTTATCATCAATAAATTCCACTACAGTTTCAAGGCGAACTTCTATTAAAACATTTATTTGTAAGTGCAGTGCTCTTAAAAATACATTAGCCAAAAATATTTTTATTTAATTAGTATTGTCATTTTATTTGACAAATATCAACAAACGGTGTCCGTTGTTTATTAAATAATTTTTCGCATAATACGAATTGACTCATGAATTTCTTATATAAATAACAGAATGTTAGGCAAGAATCTCCAATTACTCAAAACTTATTTTTGTTTATAGAGAAGACGGTTCCGAAGATTGCACAGGATCATCGAAAAGATATTATTCCTGTAACATTCAAGTGAGTATACTCGTACACTTGTTACAAGCATAGAAGTGGAAAATACTATTTGTAATATGAAATCTGAAATTATCCTTAGAAATTATAGCTGTATTTTTTAAATTACTAAATCAGTTTGGTATGATACAGTAGTATGCATCTCATATTCTTAATAACAAACAATATATTATATACAATATACATGGTATAATTGAGCCACACTTGAATACATTTATCGAATGCATATTACTTATAATATTAACAAAATCGATTAAGTAGGTACAGAATATTAATTATCTATGCTATAATAATTTATCAAAAATCATTTTTAACGAACGCATTACGATAATGAACATAATATAACAAACGAGCTTATTAACCACGATTTTTATACAGGAATGTCCCAAAAAAAGTCTGGATTTCCGACTGGAGCAATGTGCTGCATTTAACCATGTACCATTTGAAGGATTGACATACGAGTAAGTGGAAACAACAACAACAACAACAACAAACGTTTTATTGTCATACGCCATAAAATAAAAATTATTTACACAGATGGGTACCTTACACCAAAGCTCCAAACAAATGTGAACTGAATTGTATGCCGAAAGGAGAACGATTTTATTACAGACATAGAAATAAAGTAATCGATGGTACCACGTGTGATGAAGAAAAATTAGACGTTTGCGTCGATGGAAAATGTTTGGTAATACCATTGTATAACAATAAAAGTCATTACTTATTGTTTGTTTAAGTTTTTAAAAAATCATTCTTGTTTTGGAGTATTATATTTATCTAGTGCCTATGCTTATTCCGGTGTAATTCAAATTATTATTCGTTAGAAATATTGTTTATTGTCAGTATTTTCTATAAAAATATATTTTTATATAACAACTTATAATTTTTGAAAATTTGTTTATATTATTATCGCTCTATTAATTAAATTTAAAATTAGTACTCTAGTTACCTAATTTTTATAGTATCATAATTTATATTGCTTATTAAGTATATTAAGTATTTTTATTCGACTTTTGAAGACACTACGATTTTAATCAGATACCGCTGTACCTGTAATTTATATTTTGATTTTTAGATTTCATTTTTATTCACATTACGCTATACCAGAGACGGTCAAACTTTTTTCGGCCGCGATCTACTAAAAATATACTTCACCTTTGAGGATCGACTTCGATAAAAAAGTTTTTATTATTATTAAGTTACTATACCACCATAATTAATTTTCGTGAGCGCAGCCTAAAAATAAATTCTAGCACGATCGACCGGTCGATCGCGATCGTCTGTTTGGCCACCCCTGCGCTATACCGTTCACATTTCAATATTTCGATCACAAAGTTTCAGTTATATGAATTATATCAATGTTTAGCCACCTACGTGTATTACGCTTACATCCTTAATATTAAATAAATTGTAAAACTGTACCGTGTTTAATTATCATAACGTTAATGTGAAATTCATACGTTTTTGAATTAAATAAATATAAATTTCAGTCCGTAGGATGTGATAATCTATTGGGTTCACCGGTAAGAGAAGATCGTTGCCGTAACTGTGGAGGAGACGGTTCCAACTGCAATACCGTTCAAGGTATTTTGGACATGAACGATTTACAATACGGTACGTAGCTGTATAAAAATTATATTTTTTTAAAAAAATGTCATTATTATATTTAAAATTGTTGATGAAATTTACCACATATAATAACAGTATTATAAAAAGAGTATGGTGTGTATACGTAGAAAAGCGATTTTCATAGTACACTAAAACGAACTAAAACGTATAATGCGTAATACAATTTTATTATTTGTATCAATTATATTATTTTTTTATGCATATTATTATTTCAATAATTACTTATATTTGTTTTTTTTTTTTAATTTTATATCTAGGGTATACGGATATACTTCTGATTCCGGCAGGTGCTACTAACATAAGAGTAAGGGAAATTCAGCCGTCTAATAATTATTTAGGTAACTTACAGGTTATAAAACATTTACGTCTCTCTTTATATAATATCTTATTACATTAATATAATATTTAAAGCAATTAGAAACATTTCTGGACACTACTACCTTAATGGTAATTGGAAGATAGATTATCCTAGAAGCCTGAAAATCTGCAATTCCGTTTTTCATTATGAGAGGAAGAAGCGAGCACTTTACACACCCGAAATAATTACAGCTTTAGGACCAATTTCAGAAGCAATTTATATCGTGGTAAGTTAAGTTTATATTTCTCAATTTTATATTTATTGTCTAAAAGTTATAATAATAAATCAAAATAATTATAAATGGTTCTTATGATCGTTCAAAATATTTTAATTGTTAATTAAATTTCGTATCGCGTTAAAATGTATACTTCTCTATATTAATGATTTATGGATCTAGTTTCCACTAATTAAGTAGTAAATATATATATATATTTTTTTTTTTTTTTATTCTGTTTTGTTTACCTACTAACTATCTGATGAATAATGATTTACCGTAAACCATTAAGTCAGTAGGATCGCTAACTCGACACCAATTAGTTTTAATTAACTTTTTATTTGATAAAAATAAAACCATTTGCATAATAAAAACTTAGTACATACTACCTATAGTTTATTAATTGTTAGAAAGATTTTTAACGATATTTATATCACATGTTACATTAGTTACTGTATCAAGAAGTTAACCCCGGAATTGAATACGAGTATAGTATTCCAACTAGTGCCGCAAAACTAACATTATCCAGAGGATACAATTGGATGTATAATGAGTTCACTGAATGTAACACGACTTGCGGCGGAGGTAATAATAGTCAACATTTCTTTTTTGCTCAACGGGTTTTAATTATATATATTATGTACTATTGATTTAGTTACATGTTAGATAAATACAAGCTATATATTATCATGAATGTAATATGCAGGTTTATATAGCAGTTTGCTTGATATCTTTTATCACGTGTATATAACAGAAGGCTTTTTAAAAAAAATCTACAAATTGCTGTCATTAATATAAATTTAGAACAATGATACGTTTTGGGGTAGAAAAATTAGAAATAAGTTTTTTTATTATTATCTTAAAAAAAAAAAATTATTGTTAAGACTTAAATGTTTCACAAAAGTGATTTTAGATTAATTTCAATTGATGCTATGATCTGTTAAGATATTATACTTTTGACACTGAGAATTATTCTGTTTTAATAGAACTTTAAATATTTGTAAATGTGGTTAAACTTTAATCGTTCAGTATTCTATAGCTTTTTAAAAAAAAAACTCAAAGAGTTTTTTATATTTTCTAAATTATTTAGTTAAAATTTAAAATCAAAATTTCATAGTAGTATTATAAGAGTTAATATTAGTGTATTGTTATAATTAACTAAGTACAAAATAAAGTATACAATATACATATATACCTATTTTTAAAATTAATATTAAATTACTAATTGGTTAATATGTAAGTACAAGTAAAATAAGCTGATACATTTCAAAATTATTGTCTTACAGGTGTAAGAACTCGAAACGTTTGGTGTGCTCAAAAGAATGACTCTATGCCTGCACCCGCAGAACTTTGTGACCCAGGTTTGGAACCATTAAAATCACAATCATGTTCAATGGAACCATGTCCACCTAAATGGGCACCAGCTAATTGGACAATATGTACACATAAATGTGGAACAAACGGAACACAGACTAGAGAAGTACTACATTTAAAATAAATAGATAAAACTTCGAAAATAATAATTTTGAATTTTATTATTATTATTAATTTATATAGCTTGAAAGTGCAGTTTTTTAAAAATGTATTCTGTGAATAAGTACTTAAACTTAAAGATTAATAATTTTAATAAATCGTTATACGATTTTTAAACAAAATATTTCTTTTAAAGCCAGATTTCAATAGTATCACAATAATTGTGAATTAGAAACACTGTGAATTGTTTTACAATTAATCTATACTCATATTATATGTATCTTATAGATATCGATTATGATTTTAGGTTGGTTGTGTGCGAAGAATCAATGGTGTTGATGTTCCTGTAGATAATAACTACTGTAACCAGTACGATGGCACTAAGCCAGCCACTGTACAACCATGCAATATAGGGCTAGAATGCCCATTATGGCACACTGATCCTTGGAAACCTGTAAGCAAAAGATTAATTTAAACAAATATTAAATAATTACATTATTTACGGATCACATTTTTGGAGTATATTTTTTTTTTTATTATTATTGTTTTTATTTAACTTATATAAATATTTTAGTTTTAATAATATTCATTAAAGAAAATTCAAATTATTTTATCATATTATGGTTAAACTTTTATAACATAGTAAATATTTTCGTTGATACAAAGGGTTTTATTTCATTAAAAAAAAAAAAAAAAAAAATGTTTAGACCAGTTTAAGTGATCTAAATGGTTTTTATAACATAACTTACATAAATATGTTTGTATAGTAAAATATAATGTATATAATATTAAATATCGTTATTACTTATTAGTTATTACATTATTACGAGAGTACATACTAATGCAATGCGTTTTGGTACCGCCATTTTATCACTATCTTTAAATTTAAATTTAAATAATATCCGTTATTCAGAGAGTCCGCTTTTCGGTGGTTTTCCCATTGAAAAGTAATGAAAATGTCTCCATTCCCAAAAAAAAAGTCCGCTATTGAGAAGTGTCAGTTAAAAAAGGTTTCACTGTAAATAATAAGCAAAATATATTTAATTTTTAGTAAACATATTATGTATATTATAATATATATTATTACAACTTTGACAATTTAATTAATATTACTTAATTTATAATAAATTATTCAAATTATTATTATTTTTTAATTTAAAATATAATAAATTATTTCCACTATTATAAAATTTAAATACAACGATAATTTTTAAATATTCTATGCTAAAAAAATTCATTTTAAAGTTATATATTATATATTGATTGATAAATTAAGTTTTGATTATGTAATATAAGATGACTTAATTTCTTTTATAAACAGTGCAATCAACTGTGTGGAGCAGGTAAACAAACTAGAAAAGTTAGTTGTTACAGAAAAGTGGATAAGAAGATTATTATATTAAATGATGACGAATGTGACTCTGAAAAACCAAGTACGGAAAAAACATGTAATCTGCGTCCATGTGAGGGTGTGGATTGGGTGACATCTGCGTGGTCAGGAGTAAGGAAGCAAATTATTATTCTTATTAATTATCAATGATATTTAATTTTTCCTATTTAAATTTAGTGTGGTGACTGTAATTTGGATTTCGAAACTAGACAAGTGATTTGTGCAAATGCTAAAGGAAAATTATATGATAACAAATTTTGTAAAAAATCAAAATACCCAGAGACTGTAAGAAATTGTACACCTTCAGATGCATGCGAATATCAGTGGTATGCCACTCAATGGAGTGAGGTAAATTGCAATATCTATTATATAATTGTTATTATTTCATTTGATATGATATATCTGTGATAATATGGTGTGGAAATATTATGTTTAGTGCTCATCAAAATGCAGTACTGGAAAACAAATCAGAAAAGTTTTTTGTGGATCTTTAGTCGGTGAATCGATAAAAAAAGTTGATAGTGCAAAATGCGATCCAAGCAAAAAATACGAAGATACTAAAAATTGTACTGGTAAAGAAACATGTAAAGGAGAATGGTTTTCAGGCCCTTGGACTGCGGTATGTTTAAACATTAATTAACTAATGATTTTATTTAATTATTTATATAATTAATTTATAAAATAATTTAATATATAGTGTTCAAAACCTTGTGGTTCTGGAGAAAAAAGTAGGAAGGTATTTTGTATGGTTGGAAACTCTACTGTGGATGCTAGTCAGTGTAAACCTGAAACACTTCTATACTCTAGTGATGAATGTAATAAACATCCTTGTGGTGAAGGTAAAATTAATTTTATGTTCTTAAATACGAGTATACAATTTCGTTTGTTGCTACTTCTGCTAAAGAAATATTAATTTAATTTTTTATTTTTGTATAGATCAAATTATGCCTGTTGAGTCTAAGAAACCAATCACGGAAGAAGATACGCTCGAAGAAGAAGAATGTGAAGATGAAATGATAACTGTTACTCCATTTGCAAGTGAACCTGATTATGAAGTAAATTTTTTTTCTATTAAACATGACTATGAACTGTATTATTAACGAAGAAAAAATATTCATTGATGTTTTTTCAAATTTTATCTTCATATATTTTTAACTATTTATTTTACTATAGGCTTCAACATCGTCCTACACACAATCATCTAATGATGTTATGATTAGTACAGATTTTAATAGTACAATGAAATCCGAAGATTCCGATATAGTTACTACAGATTCAATGAGTACTGAAAAGGAAAGCACTACTACTACTTCTCCAACCAAACGAAAAAAGAGACAAGCTATCTTAGATTCTCAGATAAAATTTTCTAAACCTACTGATGTTGAGTCCTCGACTTTAGAGTCTTCGACTATAATTTCAACAACGGATATGTCAACCACTGATATATCAACCACAGATGTTTCAACAACAGATTATACAACTACTGACATGTCAACAACTATTGATGTTTCTTCGACGGCTGACATTGGTTCAACAGTTTCTTCAGCATTGCCGTCCACATCACCTGAACCAACAACAATCACATCTCAGAGTGAAACAATGACAAGTAATATGTCAACTTCAGTAGATATTTCATCATCTACAGCTGATTCCAGTACCGAAAGTAGTGATAAAACTACTCCTATGGAGTTAACAACTGTTGCAATATCTTCCACTGACACAGAAAGCACTATTGTAACTGATTCAATAACTGAAACAAGTACTGATGCAATGTCCACAACAGATATTACATCAACCATTAATTTATCATCGAGCAGTGAACCATCTACGTCCCTTTCGTCATTAGAAACAATCGCATCGTCAACTGAGATGTCAGTTAGCACTTCTGACTATACCAGCGAAACATCTGTAGTTATGACAACATTCACTGCAGTGACAGATTCAACTAAAAAAAGTATAGCATTTAATATATAGTTTTTGGATCTAAAAAAAAATAAATAAATTGTTATTATATTTCAGCTAGTAAGATGAAGAATCCATTGATTGAAGCTTCAAATAAGAGCAAACGTATTTGTAAGAAAAAAAAGAAATTGCCTGGTTGTCAAACATCAGAATTTGGATGTTGTTTTGATGAAAAAACGCCTGCTAAAGGACCATTTAGTGCTGGTATTTATGAAAACAAGACATCTATTTAAATAAATTTTTAAAGCTAATTAATTAGTTAATTAATTTTTTATTTGAAGTTTCAATTAATTTTTTTGTTATTACTAATATTTTAGGTTGTCCGGATGTACATACCTGCAAAGATACAGAATATAACTGTTGTTCGGATGGCGTAACTCCTGCAACCGGTCCTAAAAATGAAGGATGTCCTCCTTCGATGTGCAATGCTACGTTATACGGTTGCTGTTCAGATGGCTTTAGTATTTCACTAGGAAATGATTTCGAAGGATGTCCTGTTGAATTACCTGTCTTGACAACAACTTTGGCATCTGATCTCGGATGCAAGAATACACAGTAATATTAATGATTTTTATTAGTAATAATATTAAAAATAATTACCATTCATTATAATTAATAAATAATCATTTTTGTTTTGTTTATTTAAATTTCAGATTTGGTTGCTGTCCAAATGGAATTACTCCTGCTTCAGGACCAAGTTTCCAAGGGTGTTATAATTGTGTTGAAGGATCAGGAGAATGTGATTCGTGCTTGGAAACGACATATGGTTGTTGTGCAGATAATATTACCGCAGCTACAGGACCAAATATGGCTGGTTGCCAAGATAATTGTAAGTTCTAGATATTGACGATCATGCAATTCGTGTATAAAACGTGATAAAAATAAATATGAAAGAAATACAAGATCAATACGAAAATAAAAATATAATTTATATTTATAACAAGCTACTACTTATAACTTACAAAAATTTAAAAAAAAATAACATCAAAAATTTAATTTAAGTTACATTAATTTTTTTATGAGTTTTAAAATATATGTAAAATATATTATATTTCTTCTCGAACTTTTTATATAATGTTGATGTAGGTAAATCATTAAAATATGTATTTTGAAAGCCTGAAATATTCTATTATTACTTAAATTTATTATCATTGTATGAGCACGATGGAATTTTTAAAATATTTAAACTAATTTCATGCTATTTATAAAAATTTAAAAATTTTGAACTTTTTTCTTAAAATGTTGATAAAACAATTTTCTAGATCTTTAAGATTGAAAATGTTATACAATTTTTATTAGTTATTTTCAAAATAGTTTAAAAATGCTGAAAATACTTATGCACAATTTTTTTATAGATATTTGAAGTTTATGTGTGAACAAATCTATAAATTTTATATTAACAATTTTAGTGATTTTTTATAGTTGTTCAAAAAAAAAAATTATTTCACTATCACATATTCTATTGTCTCCAATACAAAATTAAATTTTAAAATATTTAGAATAAATTTAAACCATATTAATTTGAATACATAATCGTCAACAGATTATAAATATATCTGTATTTTCATAATAATTAACCTTCAATCGATGGTACTTTTTATAACCTCAATAGCGATTGCGTTGTAATGTTTACAACACCGCAATTTAAATATATTATTTCCAGAACTAGTTTTTAGTATTTTATTTTTTATTACACATAATATAAAATTAGAAAATATAAATTAGTATGTAAAACACATACGTTCATCAAAACATTCTATTATTTATAATATTATATTACAAATATAATTATTGACTTAATAATTAAATTTAAAATGAATAATTATTGCAGGCAACTTATAAATACTTGTTGTATAAAGAATAGTGAAGCTCATTCGGTTTATCACTAATGGTAGATTAAGAAAATAGTTTTATTAAATGTTTTGGTGTAAACACCGTTAATGTGAAACGCTTAGAGATTAATAAGACTTAACAGTATTTAGTTAGAAATTATAATATATTTATGTTACAAAATATTAATTTAATTCTTACTATATTGCTATATACTATTTAGTATAGGTAACTGATATCTATAAGCAACTGGCATAGTGGCGAGGTTCGTTCTAAGTTTATAAATTTATATTTTAGAAACTTTTATAAGAAAACGAGTTAAGAATAAAAGATTTTACAAATATTATCCAGCTAACAGGTCGTTTACATTTTGATTTTGGTCCTTTGTAAAGTTTGAGTGGCCCATCCCTATATTATAAAATAAATACAATAAATTTAATTAATTTTTATAATATAACAACTATTTAAAATTTATTCAAATTACAATCATGTATATTTCAGTGACGACTGATGATTTTATTTTCGTAACATCGACTTCAGAACAACCAACTGACTCATGTCAATTATCAGAATTTGGATGTTGTCCTGATGGAGTATCATCAGCATCTGGGTTCAACCTTGAAGGGTGTGAAGGTGTTGACTTCGATAACTGCACTTATAATGAAAACAATACAGGTAATTTACTATGACAGTAAAAATTAGAAAAAAATAATATTATAAATTTTAATTCCCTATGTAGTTTTTGATACAATATTAAATTTTAAATTGTTGTTAAAATTAAACGCATAGCTGTTTAATTTAAACTCAATAAATTATTAAATTTATATTATAATGCGATGGTTGAACTAAATAGAAAGTAACCACATATATTTTACATTAATATCTGTTATATTTCCAGAATGTTTACCTGCATGTGCTAAAGATCAATTTGGATGTTGTGATGATAATATTACTGCTGCACATGGACCAAATAAAGAAGGTTGTTGTTTAAGTTCTCAGTATGGCTGTTGTCCAGACAATATAGTACCAGCTAATGGACCTAGTCTACAAGGTATGTTCAATAATTACTTGTATAAAATATTTATTTTGTTTTGCTTGAATTATACATACATATATATATATGTTTAATATTTTATTTACTTTATTTTACATAAATATTATAAACAATCTGTAAATGTATTATTTAATATTTAGAATAAGCATAATATTATACACGGTTATAAATTGATATGATTTAGTACACATAAAAAGTGACCACCTATTAGCGATTATTTATTGTATAAAAATTATTTTTATTTTAGGTTGTGGATGTATTTACACGCCATTTGGATGTTGCCCAGACAATACTACAACTGCTAGAGGACCAAATAACGTTGGCTGTAGTTGCCAATACACCGAACATAAATGTTGTCCAGATAATTTCACACCAGCTTCAGGTCCTCAGTATGAAGGTTGTGCGTGTCATACATACCAGTTTGGTTGCTGTCCTGATGGTATTACTAAAGCGCTTGGTCCAAATTCACAAGGTACAATATTCTGAAAGTTAATTTTTTGGTAATATTTTTAATTCATTTTTATATTATTTTATCTAACTTAGGGTGTGGTTGTGAATATACTCAATATGGATGTTGCGGTGATAAAAATACACCAGCTCCAGATGAGACTAAAAATTGCAGTTGCGAGGCATCTAAGTATGGATGTTGTTTAGATGGTATAACTGAGTCTCAAGGGGAAAATTTCGAAGGATGTCAATCTAAACCCATTCTACCCGGAGGTATTGTATAGTTATACAATCACAAATTTTTGACTGATTAAATTTGAAATTATTAAATCAATTGTAAAACTTTTAGATAGATGCAAAGAACCCAAAGATCGAGGTACCTGTTCAGACTTCACTGTTAAATGGTTCTTTGATACCGAGTATGGTGGTTGTTCAAGATTTTGGTATGGAGGATGTAATGGAAATAACAATCGTTTCAAAACACAAGAAGAATGTAAAGATATATGTGTTGAACCATCTGGTCGAGGTATATAAATACATAAGTAATTCACTAATTTATTTCTTGTATTATTCAAATGGAAACATTTAATATCTATATAGATGTATGTTACTTGCCAAAAAGCGTGGGTCCGTGTGAAGGATATTACCCTACTTGGTACTACGATCAAGAACGAAAACAATGTGCACAATTTGTTTATGGTGGATGTCTTGGTAATAATAACAAATTCCAAACACGTGAAGAATGTGAACACCTTTGTGTTGTTCCTGATACTTTGGGTATAAACTTTTATTACAAATAATAACCGAAAAATATAACTGTTAATTTATTCAAATTTTTTAAAACTTTAAATAGACCCTTGTGAACAACCACTTACACCTGGACCTTGTAAAGGTAACTACTCACGTTGGTACTATGATAAATCAACACGTACTTGTTCGCCATTTAATTATGGTGGTTGTAAAGGAAATCAAAATAATTTCTTGAATAAAGAATCATGCAATCATAAATGCATAAACCCACTCAAAACCCAAGGTAAACTTAATTCATTGTTGATTATAAATAATAGTTAAACTTCTAATCCAATTTTATAGTAGACATTTATAATTTGATTTAAAAGTGCATGAGAGTAGAACAGCTTAATCAATAAGACAATAATACTATAGATACGACATGTAATAATGTTATTAATTAATTGACGAAAATAATGAGAAACGAATGAGGAATTTTTCGTGATTTATTGTTATACATCTACTTGTTTTCTAGAAGGACTAGACGAAGATGTTTGCAAACTACTAAAGGACTCTGGTCCATGTGAGGGTACTAAAATCTATTGGTATTATAATCATGAAAAAATGAAATGTAGGAAATTCGTGTATGGAGGTTGTGGTGGAAATAAAAATAGGTTTCAATCACAATCGGAATGTATAACGAAATGTTATTCAGAGTTATTAATTAAAGGTACAGAAAAACCTACATAGTCTATAAATTACGAATGGACTTGGAATGTACTGTCTTTCTTGTCTTTCTTAACTTATAAAGTCTTTAATGCTGTTGATTTGTTTTAACAATTTTTATTTTAATAGTATAATATTTTGTTTAAATTGAATGTATAATAATATTAATATTAATTATTAAAATATTGTTTGCTACTAACATAAAATGCATGTGGGTTTGGTAAATATTTAGAAGAATGTTTGATGACTGTTGCTCGGGGTGATAAAAACTGTGATAAGAAGATCCCAAGGTGGTATTTTGATAATAATGAAAACGCATGTAAACCTTTCTATTATACTGGTTGTGGTGCCAATGCTAACAATTATGAGACACAAGAGTCTTGTGAAAGGAAATGTCCATCTAAGAGAAGTAAGCCATTATAATGGTTAAACGTATAGTATTTTTAATAATTTTTTAGAAGAAAAATTAAAGACATTTTATTGAAATTTTAGAACTTGATACATGTAAATTACCTGCTCTTGTTGGTGAATGTCATAACTACGTAAATCGTTGGTACTTTAACTCTTTGGATGGTCGTTGTAAACAATTTTACTATGGTGGTTGTGGTGGAAATGAAAATAATTTCGAAACAGAATATAGTTGTGAAAGTAAATGCATCGATTCTAGTCACATTACAACCTTAGCACCACCTCAGTTTTCAAAAGGTATATTAACAAAATGAAAAAAAAAAGGAAAATAACATAAACAACGAATATTTTTTTAATGCGTTTTACAGACAAATGCTTCTTATCCCAAGACCGCGGTAACTGTAGTAATATGTCTTCTAAATATTTCTATGATAGACAAGACGGTGTCTGCAAACAATTCATGTACGGTGGTTGCGGAGGTAATGAAAACCGCTTCGATTCTAAACAAGAATGTGAGCGACAGTGTTTCGATGCACAAGGTAATGAAAACAAATATGACATTGTAACTGGTAGAGGGGTAGTAATACTTTAATAAAATAATTAATTCAATAAAATAGTAAGTGTAAAAAATTATTAAATTGTAAAATTTTCATTTCTAGACCTATGTCAATTGCCAAAAGTAGAGGGACCGTGCAGAGGAGATTTCAGACAATGGTATTACGATAAAAATAGCGATAGATGTTTCCAATTCCGTTATGGAGGATGTCAAGGAAACACTAACCGTTTTAATGATCGACAATCGTGTGAAACACGTTGCGTACAAAATGTTGTAACAACAGTTGCTTCGCCAATAATAGCTCCAACACGACCAAGTGACGTTTGTCTAATTCCACTCGACCCTGGTCCTTGTCTTCAAACCGTAATAAAACCTTATATTTAATTACTTAAAGTATAAATATTTTAATTTATATATTTTTCTACATTATTACTATAGATTGATATGTGGTATTTCAAAACATCCTCAAGACAATGTGAATCTTTTTCTTATAGTGGTTGTGAAGGAAATGCTAATAAATTTCAATCGGTTGAAGAATGCGAAAGAATTTGCTACCCGTATATTGATCCAAATGGTAAATGAAAAAGAAAACTGTCTTTTATTTTTAACAAAACACGATTAAACTTGTTTATGTTTAACTGTTGGACAGCAAATAAAATTGAACCGGAAACACGACTTACAAAACCAGAAGAACCACAAATATCCACAGACATTTGTGAAGCAGGAAAATTACGTTGCAAACAACTATCTGAGGAAGCAACAAGATGTCCGTACGGACTTGAACATTGGGTTAATTCTGTCGGTTGTGAAGACTGCCGATGTTATAATCCTTGTTTGCCAGGACCAGATCAGAAATCGGTTTGCCCGGCAGATTATCAATGTATAGTAGACGTAATTACATCAGATAACGGAGACTCGAAATATAAAGCTACGTGTAGACCAGGTAATAATATTAATACAAATAAACATAATTTTAGTACTTAAAATCATTACTAAGGTCTAAGATGTGGTATTTACTTTAATTAAGATACAAAATTAAAATTTTAACTATACGTAAGTGTAAACATTAGAATAATACCTTTAGATTTATATTAAATACATTAATATACACTAATGTTTTTGCTGAAAATCATTAATTATGATAATATTTATGGTTGGAAATAATTTAAGTAGGTAATAAAATATTAAGTTAAGTTGTTATACGTATCTGTACTATATATTATTTAAAGTCTTTAAATTCGCAATAACCATTCTCATTTTTACTTAATATTTACACAAATGTGTGTACAATTTCATTGAATAATCATTTTTTTTTAATTTAATAAAAATATGCATATTATTATTATTATTTATTTATTTTTTTTTTAAAGTGTTCAAGCCAGGAGAATGTCCTCAGCTTGCCGTCTACCAAAGTGACTGCGCCGAACAATGTAGAACAGATGCTGATTGTGTGGGAGATGACAAATGTTGTTACAACGGTTGTGGTACTTTCTGTTTGCGTCCACAGCAATCTACCTCAACGACGACTTCGTCGACAACCACTGCGATTACACAAGAAAAAGGTAATATTTACGATTTACCTAATTATCGAACGTTGCGCGTCAATTAGCTATAATAGAATTTGCAATTATTTATATTATGATTATCATACTACGTAAGAGCAATGGCGTACACAAAATTATGGCCCCAAGGCTTAAACCCACTTCTCTTATCAATATTTATGCATGTCCGATGGCTAAGAATTAATTTAAAAATTATTCAACTTTAGAATAATACAAAAATATACTAATTTAAATACGTAGAAATTATAAATCGACATTTTAATTATTTGTAAAAAGGAGGAAAATAGAAAAACGTTAAGCACACACACACACACACATGTGAGTGTGAGCCCGACGAGTCGTAAAATTGTATATATTTTTAATCTAATATTATTATTTGTTCTTATTTGTTTTTCACGTTCCAACAGAATCACCCCCAAAAATCGTCACAGTCGATACAAACGTGGAGGCCGACGAAGGCAATTATGCCACTCTTAGATGCATAGTCATCGGTAACCCTACACCGACGATCGTTTGGCAGAAGAACACCACACTGGTAATAATACTTTCAAATTCCATTATCTCAATGTTAATCTAAAATATGTCTTACAACTGCATTCATATGCAGTAAACCCGTAAAAATTATATTAAATCGTTCATTCATAAAAATCTAAAAACCCAATCATTTGCCTATGCAATTTATAAGGTCATTCCGGCAACAAAAACTTAGAAAATCAAATTAAATCAAAACTTTTTCATATTTTGTAAATTTTAAAACAAAACATTTCATACGCCTTCCTAAATCCTTCAAAAACAATTTGTCTGATGCGGATGTTCAAGGTGCAGAAATATTGGTACCTACCTTCACAGTGAAAAATATTATCAAATTATTATTCAATAAAAATGCATGTTCAATTTGCAATTATTTTGAGAATAAAAATACCAACAAAAAATTAAAACTATTGAAGTTGACCATTTGATAATGTTATCATTATATATTTATACTGAGTGTAAGTGTACTCGTGTTTCAGATCGACGGATCGGGTGGTCATTACAAACTGTTTGCCGACGGCACGCTACAAATCGTTGGACTATACAAATACGATTCGGGACTGTACATTTGTATGGCTAGCAACGGTATCGGTGAACCAATCAGAAAAGAGGTTTACTTAACGGTCAAAGGTACGAGATTCATTGTTTTTGTATCTAATATCTACGCTTTGTTTTAAAATATTAGAATACGCGTTTGCATTGGTAGTCAATCATTACTTGTTCATAATTCTGGTCTTTTTTTTTTTAATTAGAACTAAACACTTATTTTTATTCACTAATCTAACTTTTTAAAAGAAAAGCTTTGATGAAAACTTTTTTGAAAAATACACTTTTAGGAGGACGCCTCACTGGCATTTGTTGTCTCCATTGGTTAAGTATGACGGTTTAAACATCGCTTCATTAGTTTTAATATTATTAAAGTGAATACATATATTATAAAATTCAGAGATCATAATATTATTTGTGGTTTTAATAAGACTTTTTTTGATATTTTTATTTTACAACGACTTATAAGATTTAACAACGTTTAAAAAATGCACATAATTCGATTGAAATCCAGATACAACAAATGCTGATATGGCGTTATTTAAAACTCGTAATGCACTCGAAAAATAGAAGATTATCACACACATAATGTAATAATTATATTATACTAAAACGAATATAACGCTTACGAATTTTCCGCATATTACATTCTTGATAATTAATAATTATTTATAATCATTACAATCCTACTACTATCGGTGCTCGAATTGGGAAAAATCAAGTAGATAAGCTCAATCTAAATCTATTTAAAAACTGCGTCTCGTCCCAAATGCAATTTTATTGAACACAGGCTTCACACCAACTAGCACATTTTTTTTAAATACTTTTACTGCATATATTTTATGAATTAAAAATCTAAAAATATAATTTGTGTAAGTGAAGATTTATGTTCTCTTTAATTTGGCTAATACAACTCATAAATTTAATTTAAAAAAATTAATAACAATGATCAATAATATCTCAAACTGATAGCATAAAGAATAATATAATATGATAAAATTATGACCGTGTTCAGCGAGAACCGAGAGAGATCATTGATCGGAAAGAGCGGGCCGTCGTAATCGGCGCGAATGTAACATAACAAAAACGGTAGAAACGATACACAGGCGTACTATCAAATAAACAAACTACTTAGTATAATGTAGACTAAAATCAAAAATATTAAATATTTTAAAATGCATTGCATTTTTCCAAATAATTTATTGACAGTAACAATGCAATATTATTGATAAAAATTTAAATCCATAGTTGAATAAAAATCAAGTCAGACATTAGATTGTGCCACTTCCCTTATCCCAATAAAAAGTTAAACAGTTGGTGTACGCAAAAAATTAATAAAATAAATAATAAAAGAAAAGCTTTCTTTCCTGTACAACACCTTCCCACACACACACCAATTCGAGCACTGACTACTATGCTTACTTTAACTTGCACTCAATGTTTGCATGTGTTTTCGCACCGTTGGTCGGTGTTCTTCTTCATCTTCGTGTACTTCTTGTTCTTCTACTTCTACTTCTCGCACACCCGCACTTGTCGTCCCCGCCGTCATGCAGACCCAATCCCACGACCCGCAAACGTTATTGGCGAGGAGAGCACTGCCGTGATCGTTACACTCAACAACCCCACCGTGCTGCAGTGTTACGCAGTCGGTTGGCCACGACCGATCGTTACTTGGTGGCGAGCCGACCGGATGTTGCCGATGACATCCGAGACGTTCGAACAGCGGGACGACCATTCGCTGTACATCCGGTTGGTAACGATCAACGTACTCGGCCCGTATACGTGTCAAGTATATAACGGAATCGGCCGGGCGTCGTCGTGGAGCGTTACGCTCCAGGCGCACGGCACTTCCGCCGACTATCCGTACAACCCTTACCTGGTGCCACCGCCCAGGCACCCAAGCACCGGTGACGTGATCCGACTCAAGCCGGTAGTCGTCAAGCTCACCAGGCCGCCACCCATCTACAGAACGATCACCCCGCAACACACCGACGTCGAGACCACACAGCCGACCCAACAAAAGGTCTTTACTGGTAAGTGCCCTCCGCCCATCCCCTACTGACAGTGCCAGCACCTTTGCTGCGGACGTTGAAATTTCAAGCCATACGTATAATACGTATATCCGCCTGAGTAGTTCGACCAATCATGTGTCGCATTATTCATACCTAGAAACGTAACTATAATAGGTAAATCGAGTGATCACTATGGTATGCAGTACCTACCTATGTCTCAGTTTCGTTTAAACAGTAGATAACACGGAATTTCAGCCAGTCAACATTAAATTGAATTGGAAAGTTTTGAGAAAGACAGGAGATACTAAAATACATATTCTGTGCCAATTGTAAGTTACACGATGCGCAACAAGACTAAGTGCATTAATAAAAATTATTATTTATTATTGTTTAATTTCACAAGCCCTAATCACAATGATGTATATTATATATTTTTTTTTTTACAAAATTTAAATTTTTCTATACAATACAAAATGTTCTATTCAATAGGAAACTATAAATGATTGCTTTAAGACAATCAATTTTTTATATAGAAAAAAAGTCGCCATTTTAAATTGATTGAAGGAAATAATAAAATTATATGTAAGTAAAAACTTAAAACAATATGTAGTATTTACTATTTTCATTTAAAAAAATATTAACATTATTGCGTAAGGCACACGGAAAGGAGGACAATTTTTAAATTCGTATAAAATGTGTATTTTAATATTCCCATCTTCCTCAAAAAATCCCTATTTTAATATATCTAGTCTTTCGGCTGAAATATTTTATGTTACTATTTAAGTGAAACACACTATACATAACCACGGGTGCTAAAATATAGTTATATATTTACTTTCAAACTAATCGATGACTAGCGGTATTTCATTTTTAGTACAGACGCTCATCACACTGGTAAAAAGTTGATTTTTATTTTTGTCCAAAACAAACAGGTAACCATTATTTTATACAAAGATTTTTTCAATGATGGATTTTGAAACACTATTATGACACTGTTTTAGTTATAAAATTAAACGAAAAAGTTCTCTTCGTAACACTATATACTTTAGTAGTAGATACTTACATAAGTGATATTACTCGTACATTACTATTGCTATATACTATTGCATCTGGTTTCCTGTTACTAATAACCGTGTTATCAAATATATTTGATTTAAAAATACTAAAATGTTGCTTTTAGATAACTAATATTAATTTTTTATTGTAGTATTATTCTAACTTTAACAGATCGATACTATATCAATTAGCAAATAGTTAATAACAATAAGCATTACATTCGAAAAACATATAGGTACCTTTTATTGTCTATTAACGGGTGTAAGAAAAACAATATACACCTAACAAAATTAATTTTTTTTGCTGTTGGTTATGGAAATTATTGCATATTGACCATATTGTACACATTTACTCTTCATTATTTTTTATTATACTAATGAATTATTAATTCCCTAAATTTAAATAATTCAAACGGAATATATTTTATATTTTACGATATTAACGGTCATTTAATATGATAATAATAATTTTTCTTTTTATTTTTAATATTTCATTAATATATTATGCAAAATTATAATAAATGATGTAGTTTAATAAGAATTCATGCAATTTTCGAATTTTTAAATATTTACCCCAATGCTAACAATCATAGTTTATACAAGTTTAATAAAAAATGGAAATCAAAAAAAATACGAAAATTGCGTTCCGTTGTTTTTGATCGACTTGAGAACTCATAATATTATAATACGACTATGTCGCAATGATTCTAATTGAACGTTTTTCTGGCGCAGTACCCGTACAAGTTAATATATCTTTACCAGCCACAACGATCGCAGTCGGTTCAGACTTGACAATTCCTTGTTCGGTGGACGGTTATCCGATACCCACCGTGACCTGGTACAAAGACGGGCAAGTACTGCGGAACAATGAGCGGACTCAGGCGACCGGTAAGCGCGTGTGCCCCGCCGCAAACGGCGCCACGACGATTGTTTTGGATTATGCAAATCGGCATAATGAATATGTACTCATATCTATCGCGATTGAACGTGGTTTTATTTTTTTCCTCTTTTAGAAAACAAGTTGGTCGTCGTCCGTACGAACGCTTCGGATTCGGGTTCTTACAAATGTGAAGCGTACAACTCTTACAGCTCCGACGAAAAAACCGTAAACATCACAATAGAAGGTACGTACAGCGTAATAGTAGTCAAACACGGCTGCGGGCAGCACAGTATATACGACGTCATGTTATAAGTTATAATATTATTATAATAGTGATAATAACATTTTTTTTTTTAGAAAAACGCATAACAGAGCAGTGTAGTGGAATGGTGGGAAAGGGAGGGCGAGGTTAATTAGCTCAGTTATATTCATAGTGCGCTGTGATTCGATGTGCGGGAGGGAAGTGATTTGGTATTTTTTTTACCAAAATCCGTTAATTTATCGTGGACGATGAGACAGTATTAAACAGTAGTTTATACGTGCGCCGCAGTAGTTCTCATAGCGAGTTCGATCGCTTGGCCGAAAAACGAATGTAATTTGAATTAAAAACTTTGATAGTAACTATTAATATCAGCTATTATTAGCGATTTTTCCTCAAACGGCGTGACGATTGTAATTTTAAAGGATTCGCACGTGCGTTCACGACTTATCAATAAAAAAATTTACAATGTATTTAAAATTATTCATCGCAAAATATTATTATATGGGTAATGATTTTCGATTTCGATTGTTTCGATCGCAGTGTCGTGGGAAAATAGGCTCTAATGCGATAATAATATAATAACGCGCCAAACAATATTATGAAAGAAAATAATAGCGCTTTTGTTTTAAACCTTTGCTATTCGTTTTGTTTTTTTAGGCGTGTACATTCATCCGAACTGCACGGACAGCCGGTTTTTCGCCAATTGTTCTCTGATTGTGAAGGGATCTTACTGTAATCATCCGTACTACAAGAAGTTCTGCTGCGAGTCGTGCACGCGAGCCGGTCTGTTGCCGACCAATGACTATCCGACCAACTATTCGTACATCAGCGGTTCAATCAGACGGTTCAGAAGAGATCTAGTCAACAAACTCCAAAGTTTGAACTTATTCTGAGCGGGGCGCAACGGCCGATCGGCGTTGCATTTTAGTCATAAATACAAAATTAAAATATTATTATAAATTATAAGAGAAAAAAAAAATAATACAGTTTTAGATAATATCGCTACACTATATAATATATTATTATTTGTTCGTGTCACATAATAATTTTACTATTATTATCATTATCTTATTATTATTATTATTATTATTATATCATCATTATTATACTATTACTACTACTATTATTATTATTACTATAAATATTATAATTATTACAAACCGGAATTTTATTCGTTTCAAATGACAAATGCCCTCAAAAAGGTAACGTTGTAGATAATCAAATAATTTTCGAAATTATGCACAGTCATTCCACGTAATGTTTTATTATATAATTATACTACATCATAAATTAGTTTTTATAGACCATATTGAAACTTAAACACATTTAAAATTTCTTTCTTTTTAACAGTACTAATAATCCAGTTTATATATTATATATTTAATCAGTTCTAATAATAGTCATATATACTTTCGTTATTGGAAGTAGTTAAATATTACTTTATGTACTTTAGATAAGTTGAAATGATCAATTTATCATATTATACCTTCCTATAATAAGTATATATTATGTTCACTTAAACATATAGCAATTCCTTTTCGATACTGTATTGAATGTTTTAAATATTATTTATAGTATGTTGATTACATTATAAATAATATTAGGTACCTATTTTAAGTTTACTGCATTATTACAATTTATTTGAGAAAATAATTTCATTTATTTCCAATTATAACGCGTTTATTAACATTTAAGTTTTTGTGTTCAGGTTTATATAAGTTACCCTTTAAGAGATATTAATTTTATATTTTGTGGCTATTAACTGTGCTTTAAATACAAAAATGATGGGTTTTTACATATTATCCTTTGTAGTTTTTTAATTTATTTATTTATTATTAACTTACAGGTTATTATAACAACATAAATTGTTACAACTGCAGCATTCACAGTATATAGGGATAAACATGTAAATAAAATAAAAAGTGATTAAGTTGCTAATAGCTATACGGTAGGTATCCCGTGTGTTAATCACTGTAATATATGTGTGTGTGTGTGTTAAAATAATGTCAGTGTCTTTTTTTTCACACAAATTTACACGATAGACACTCAAAAAAAAAAAAACGCTTTTAAAAATAATCAGTACACTTGTCCTAACACTTGCCCTAATTTAAGGGTATAAACTAAAATAAAATAAATAATTATAAATAAGAATCAAAAATTATTTTTGGAATGTAAGCCAGTTCACCTCTTCATGGTGCACTCTGGGAAACTCTAAATAAACTAGAACGCTCTAGAACTATATCAAAAATATGACTTTTTTCTTGGGACACACTCGGGTGATACCTTATTTCGGACGCACTCGGTACATTAAAAAAACATCATTTCGGGACGCTCTAAGGAAACTCTCGAACCAAAGCTAATATAGCTATTTATGTGTAATGAGCGTTAAATGAAAAACAACAGTTTTCAGCGATTAACATTAGGCATGTTAGGTGTATTGCATAATGTAATATTATTAACATCTATAACAAAAGGCCTTCACCACGTAAACAGGCAAACATTTCACAAAATATAAAAATCATTGTACAATTTTTTAGATCTTTTTTAAAGTTCAACCAAAACCAATTATCTTGTTTTATTTTTATTAGAAATATATTTACCCTAACTTACTAAGAATGACATGAATAAAGTAAGTATAATTAGAACAGTGGCGCCGAAGCCCATGTTTATGTATGGTAGCTGTCATACATATAAAAATTTGGCTAGGGGGTGGGTCCTTAGAAGAGATGAAAATTAATAGGAATAGGATCACAAATTATTAAGTAATATCGCCCATTGAGTGTGTTATATTTTGTGGTATATCAATGTGTTCGTTGAACAGTAAACAATAAATAGTTCATATTACGTAATTAAATAATACAAAATACAATCATTTATGGTAACAGTAACAACTAATAGTGCAGAATCTGTATGTTAGTTACTCAGCAGTCTCCAGTTAATCATTAGGTTATATGTCCAATTTAATAATTCTGTTTAATGAATAGTTTAATCTATAAACTATTATTGAACACTGTATATTTTTAGTTATCATTTTTACTATTAATTTAACTTTGGAGCACGTTTATTTTTATTATAAGTATAAAATATTATATTATCCACATGGACATGACAATATTATATATTGTGTTTTGTGTGATAATACTGACTTATCGATTATTACTTGTACATTTAAGTCAGAATTAAGTATATTTATTTTATGTATAATGTTAAATGTAATATGTATGTATATAAATACCAACATTTTAGACGGAATAAAAATATAAATATAAACCATAAACGAATATAAAAGACATTCGCCGATTAGCCACGACCACCCCACTACTATTAAAAGTATATTACAATATTACATTATTACCGTCCATCTATGATGTTATCAATAAATTAACAATAGTTTCCAAAAATAGCCAGAGATTCCTATAGACTATGATACATTGATACAACACTAGTCACTAACTATCGTTGAAAATCAACTGTGCCTTCACTCCACTCCTTTAGATTAGACTTTAGTATAATAAGCCAGATATTATTCAAATAGACTGTGTCACTATGACATAAAAAGTACAGATCAACCTTTAAAACTAATTTAATTTGAACCAAAAACATGAGTTCTGTTTGTAAATGTGATTGCGGGAAATTAAATTCATCAATGAACTATGTAAATTGGAGTCGACATATTAACGCATGTAAAGTACGAAAAATTAAAAGAAACTTGCATAATATAAAATCGTTTTTTTTTTTCTGGAAACGAGAATAAAAAAAGCAAATTGTTTCACCAATTTACTGATATAAAAAATAGAAAGTACATACTTAATTTATTTAAATGTTTTATTTTGTTTTAAGTTAAAAAGTTAAAAACACAGATATAGAATAAATCATTTTATATTATTATAGGTTAATTTTATTAACTAATAAATATAAATCTTTTAAATCGTTATTACATTAATATGGCTAGTTATTAGTTAATTATATACTATATATATCTCATTCTACTTATTGTACTTTAACATATCTATTGTTTTATTACATTAATTTATCCCACTAGGTACTGTTAATTTGGAATATTTAGGTTATTTAGTATTTAGAGATAAATAGGTAATAAAAGTGAAAAAAGAATATGTTGGTAAAGAATGTTCTGATGAAAATTATTTTCAAAAATATATTATATTTTTATTAAAAGAATGGTTAGTGAGCAGGGTATATGATGGTAAATTAATAATAATTTAGTATTAACTATAGTTTTTAAGTTTTTAAATATGACAGTAAGTACATTTGTCCGGTTTTGAATGGGTAGATGGAGTGGGTAGAATATTAAACTCTCAATAATGTTGAGTTCTCCACGTCACAGGTTTCATTTTTTGTGCTTAAGATTCCGTTCGATTGCAGCTCGGTTGGCGGGTCCACCCCAGAGCGGCGCGAATATTCTGCTCTCTAGCATTTGCACAGCCTCCCCCGAATTTTCGTAGCATTTCACCGTGCGTTTAATGGCTCGGATCACGTTCACATTCGACTTGATCTTGTTGGACAGCCACGCTTCGGCGTCTGCCAACGTGGCTACCGTACCGTCCACCAGACCTAAGTCTATCGCCTTAGTGGAACTCAGCATCTTAGCCTCTAGCAACAGGTCCATGGTCTTCCGGACGCCCAAGATCGACACTAGCCGGCCGGTGGAACCCCACGCAGGCACTATGCCCATTTTCGAATGAACGAAACCTATGACCGTGGTGTCGTCAGCATTGCACATTATCCTATAGTCGCACGCCATCGACACTTCCGCACCACCGCCAATCGCACCTGTATAACAACATTCATTTTTCCGTTAAACGTAGCTTTCAATGTGGGTGCTAATGTGCCATAACTCTGTGGACAGTGTGTAGTATAAATATTTTCTATTTTGGTCCGAAAAAAAAAAACATTAAATCATATAATATTATATTATTCTATAACAGCTGATCGTGCACGGCATTTTAATAATTATATTATATTAATAATTTTAATAATCAATAATTTGGGTGGTTTTAATAACACATAAAATACAAATCTAAAATTATATTCTATTTAAACAACTATCCTATTTTTTGTGACTAATGGCTATCCTATAAAAAAAAATACGTATATATTCGTTTGTCGACAAACAAAACCTTATGTGAGCCCCTCTTTAAAATGCGAATTTTGAAAAATGCTACTTACAAGATGTTACGGTAGATAGTATCATAAAAATATTATGTCTCTAGCTATTATAGTCTAGGAAATACGATGTACGTGCTTAAGAATCAGTTAGTAAAACAGGATTTCTTATTTTATATAAATAATATATATATATTTATTTAATACATACAGGTATATATTACGAACGTGTACATTAATAATAAATTAATTAAAATTCAAAAACTTGCTTCGAGATGCATATACTAGGGTATAAAAATACCATTAAGTAGGCTAAATTTTAGAACCATCCTCACAAACAAACATTACTTTTTATTAATATAGATAATGATATTGTAATACTGTCCCTAAGACTAGGCTTTAAACTATAGTATATTTTTGATTTTCAGAAGCTTTTTATGGAGTTTTATCGATTTCGCCATTTTAAATATCAATCGATAAGTAAAAAGATCATTTCAGCGCAATTGATATACGCCGCACTTTACGCGTTCATAAAAAAAAGAATTAAGTCAAGATGTATTTCAACAAAAAATAACTTATCTAATGACTAAATTTACTGACGTATTAATTAGCCATTGACACAAAATAAAACTGTATACCAATAAAATGTACATATCTCATTAGAAAAATAATTTTACTCTCATATAAATAAAAAGTATAATAATATTATAATATTACCTGTGCCTTCGATATATGCAACTGTGATAATGGGTAGTTTACTTAATTTATCAAGAATATGACCTATATAAACGGACATTGCGTATCCTTGAAATGAGTTGTTCATTATTTTCGCCGTTTTCAAATCTCCCCCGGAACAGAAATTTCCATCAGCGCCATATAAAATTAATCCTTTGCACTCGGTCCACTGGTACAATTCATCAATAATGTCATTCAACTCCGATATCATTTTTACTATATAAACAAAAAGATAAAAATTACACATTAAAACAATCATTAAATTTAAAACATATTTTCAGCATTAATACAGTATAGAGCATAAACTGCATACATTAAGAGATACCTAATATTACATAGTTAATACAAAATTGTACTCAATAATTACTGCACCACGTTTTCTTTCTTAATTTTTAATCTTCCTCACATGCCTAGTAAAATAAATTACTTTAATAGCAATATATTTATATACATATATATCATAAAATATGTTTTGTAATATAGGCTGTCGGAAGCAATGATTTATCAATTCAAATATTATAACACATTAAACAATACAGTAACTTATTCCTCGTGACAAAGTTCATTCAAGATCTTCTTACTGAACAGCCCAGTCATTTTATTTTAGAATTACAATGATATTTTCCGTTATAAGTGAATAAGAATTTCAATAAATAAAAATTCATAAAAATAGTGTATGTGTGGCATATATTGGGGAATCGTGTTGATTTTAATAGCCATTGATAAACATACACGATTCCACATAATTCTAAATGCAACGTTGCCATACAAATATACAATTAATTACTCTTGTTATTATAAATTAAAATTTTTTTTTTAGTTATCTATATAGTCAAAAAGTTATAAAAATTATCAGCTATTAATTATACAATTTAAAACATTTGTTATTATAAAAATATAAAAATTCATAGTTGTCAACTACGAGTTGGTTGTATAATATAGTAGATAAATTAATAGCTATCAATTAATCAAAAATTATAATAATATAAAATATTGATGATGTAAATAAAATTTGTAATATAAAGTTAAAATAATAATGATATATAATTTTAAAATTATATATAATATGAAATTATGTGATTACTTTGATTGATGTCACACGAAAAATCGAGTTATGAAATTAATTTAAACTAAAATCATGTTTTATGAAGTTTTATTTTCAAAGCACAGTTTAAAGTTATTCTTTATTAATTAATTAAAATGTATTCTTTTTATTATGTGCATAATATATATATTTTTTTATAGTCGATTATAGCGCTTACGCTGTCAATAATGTAGTCCAAATTTCTTATTTCTATTATTTCTATTACCTATCTAATTTATTATAATCTAATCTTATAAACGACGATGACATGGACGTTATCTTATCGCATATAATGTGAAACAAACTCATATACGTTTAATTCGTTATGTTCGGAAACTTTATGAAAAACTTATTTTACAACGAAATAACGACAGTTTATACTTATATACTTTATATTTTGTTTTCAGATAAGCGTTGCTAATTAAAATTATGGAATCCTATAAATACATACTAAAATTTGCAAGTCGTGTATCAGTGCTATTATAATCAACACTATTCCGCAAATTTTGCGGAAACGTTCTCCACCGGTATGTGTATGTATGTATACGAGAGAACAATATTTTATTATAATATATATTATTTATATGATATTATACCATTATACCCACCAAAATATACAATATTGAACATCGATAACTGTAAGGCTGTTGCTTACGTTGCAGGTATATTTTAGGCAAAGGTAAACAAGTTAATGAAAATAATTAACTCAAGTTAATCTAAGTTAAAGGACACAAGATCGATAAATTATAATTATATTTACTAAATACATTTAAATTATTTCATCATTATTATTAATTATAACAATATATTTTTATTAATCATTAATATTATATGTTTTATAGTAGGTAGAATATTAGTATAGATGAGATATCTAAATTAAGACAGTACGGTTAATAGAATATAATAAGTCAGTTATAAATGTTGTTTTTACGCGTAATAAGTAATGTACTTACTACTAAAAATGTAAAGAAAATGTATACCTATTAAAAATTGCTAAAACTAACTGTAAATTAAATTTCCAATGAAAAGGAAACATAGAAAACAGATTTATTTTATAGGCTGAGATGAAAAATTTATTGCCGCCACTAACTGCTGATGAGCAATGTGCAGCA